TATATATATATATATATATATATATATATATATATATATATATGTATATATGTATATATATAATATGTGTATATGTGTGTTATGTAGGTGTTTGGGTAGATATACACTTTCTCTTGAGAACAGAGAACAGAATTTCATTTTTAATGTGGGCCAGTGTGCTCACACTAAAAAAAAAAAATGACTATACATTTACATTATTATCTTATTTCAAGTTCATTTTGGGTCACATTATATTTCAGACCCGTGTAGAGAATAAGACTTGATCAAATTACTATCAGTAGTGTGCATTTATGAATATTCAAGTATCATCTTTTTAATTTTATTAATAACTGTGCCTGCCCCTCCCTCATTGTTACAATCTTTTTGTATGGTCTCAAACTTTTCCTAGACTAGCCTTCAAATATTTTTTTTTAATGCTTGCATATTTTTCCTATGGAGATAAGAGGACGCCATATTTAAAGAAAACATTATTATTAACTCAACTGGAAGAGGAGGGTGGGTGGGACCGGAGAACGTGTTTACAAGCAAAGCAGTTACTCCAACTTGACTTTCGTGGATGCAGTTATCTTTCCTCTCATTATTGAAATCACTATCATTTGTTTTTTTTTCTTGGTTGTGTTAGGAGACTTTTGAAAATGATGAAATAATGATTAGGTATACATTGACCATCTGTGATTTATGCTTATGCGGAGGAGTGGCACAAAGGTCCCACTCAGATAGGTTAAAACAGCACTCGCTGGTTTCCATATTTCTCTTTGGTAAATCTCTCCTGCTTTCCCTGGGCATGGATTATGTTTCCTGCTGATGAAAGAGAGAGAGGTGGAATTTTCCTCTTAAGGACCTCTACTTAAAATAAATGAATCTCAGAGTTGGAGAGAAGTCATCTAATCCAACTCACTTCGCAGGTAGTCTATTTTGCACCTCTTGCTGAGTCTGTCATCTGCGCTTGCATAACTGTCTGGTTTGGCTCTGCAACCCAACAAGGCAAACACAGACTTTGACGGATAGTTAGAACTGCAGAAAAAACCAACCTGCCTTCCATTGAGGACCTGTACACTGCACAAGTCAAAAAGAGGGCTGTGAAAATAACTACAGACCCTTAAAATCCTGGACATCAATTGTTTCAACTCCTACCCTCAAAATGATGTTATAGGGCTCTGCACACCAGAACAACTAGACACAAGGACAGGTTGTTTTCCTGAATGCCATCACTCTGCTAAACAACTAATCCCCACAACACTGTCACATTATCTACTAAGACTGTATTATTCTTCTTCTTCTTCTTCTTCTTCTTCTTCTTCTTCTTCTTCTTCTTCTTCTTCTTCTTCTTCTTCTTCTTCGTCTTCTTCTCTTCATTCCTAGTACCTATCTCTTTCTACTTAGAACTATAACCATGTTGCTTGTATCTTTGCAATTTATATTGTTTTGTTTCCTAGTATAATTTGATTGCTTATTAGTAACCTAGGACTATCACTAAGTGTTGTATCATATGGTTTTTGATGAATGTATTCTGTTTTATTTTTCTTTATGTACACTGAGAGTATAAAGACAAATTTCTGGTGTGTCCAATCACACTTGGCAAATAAATAATTCTATTCTATTCTACTCTTCCAGATCATCAGCTATCTCCTCTTGAAAGACCTCTAGCAAAGAATTCACTACTTCATCTGAACATTGTTAGAAGCCAGAAAACATTGTATGATTCCAGAGATGTGCCTAAAGAGAGGAAGGAGTGTTCCACTGGTGCAGCATGTGTTATTCCTACTTATGTTTCCTCATATAGTGAGCAAAGAAATGGGATGGACTGAGCCCAGACATCTTCCACATGAGTTCTATTGGCCTGGAGATTATGTCATTGGTGGAATCACATCCCAAATCATTTTTCAGTTTTCCTTGAATTCTTTCCAGAAGTCTCCTTTTTCAGAAGAGAGGAATATCCGTGAGTAAGAAATTTGCTTGTCACTGAAATGTTACTGTTAAATGCATCCTCGAATTTAAACATCCTATCCTTGTAATATTTGAGAATCTCTCCCTCTTCTGTTTTGAAATGACAGCATGAGAAAATACGAGTTATTTTTTTAAAATGATTGTTTGAATGCATTTGCACGACAAAATAGAAACATGTATGCAATTTTCTTTCAAACAATGTAATTGCAGTTTTTCAATGGTCATTTTTCTTTTCCGCTTTAAAACTCAAAAGTCCAGCCTTTAGCGGCTAGTTTTCTGGGTCATCACTCATCCAAATAAATAGACAGTTCTAATGCTACTTAGCTATTCAAAATCCATCACAATTGTTGAAGTGATGGAGTAGCAGGTTAGGATTACAAATGTCTGTAACATTTACTTGTTTGTTTGTTTGTTTGTTTGTTTATTTATTTAATTTGTGGAACATGTAGTAGATAACATGTATAATTATAAACATGGACATGGACAAGGAAATTAGTACAAATAAATGGGGATAGTAGGACAAGGATGATAGGCATGTTGGTGTGCTTATGCATGCCCTCTTTACGGAGCTCTTAGGAATGGGGCTAGGTCCATGGTAGATAGTTTAAGGTTGAATCCATCGGGATTTGAGGATGTAACAACAGAGTCAGGTAGAGCATTCCACGTATTGACCACTCTGTTGCTGAAGTCATATTTTCTACAATCGAGTTTGCAGTGGTTTACCTTGAGTTTGTATCTATTTTTTGCCCATGTTATTATTGAGGTTGGTGCTGAAGAAGTCATTGACAGGTAGGATGTTGTAGCAGACAATTTTGTGTACTACACTTAGGACAGACAGTAGGTGGCATAATTTCAGGCTGCCCAAGCTCAAAACTTCAAGCCTGGCAGCATAAGGTACTCTGTTGTGAGTAGAAAGTGGAGTACTCTTCTCGTGCAGTATCTCTGGACTCACCCAACTGTGTTAATGTCCAAAATACAGTATGGATTCTAGACAGATGAGCTGTACTCAAGAACTGATCTAGCAAAGGTTTTGTATGCCATAGTTTGCAGTACAATGTTACCGGAGAACATTGTTTGTTTCCTTGCTTGCCTGAAGAACATATTTCTTAATTGCATATCTCACTTTTAATCTTTGCAATGATTAGACGGTCATTTGATCCAACTTAAATCAACACTGCATTCTAATAATCTCATGAATATGCATTCTAGTTGGCAAATTTGCAGCACTGGCTTCCCTTTTAGTTCTGGGACTTTTCCTGCTTACACTTCCAGGATTTCTTGATAGTGTAATTAATCAAGTCCAACCATCAGATCAATCAGGGCTGGCTTTTTTTTAACAGTCCCTTCTAGTCAAATGCAACCCCTGGATCTTCCATCAGAATCTAAATGCCATTTCTTAGCAGCAAACACATTATCTGTCATTTGTGGTCAGCTAAGCTTAAGCTTGTGGGACACGGTGGCTCAGTGACTAAGATGCCGAGCTTGTCGATCAGAAAGATTGGCAGTTCGGTGGCTTGAATCCTTTGCACCATGAAATGGAGTGAGCTGCCATTACTTGTCTCAGGTTCTGCCAATCTAGCAGTTCGAAAGCATGTAAAAAATGAAAATAGAAAAATAGGAACCACCTTTGGTGGGAAGGTAACAGCGTTCTGTGTACCTTCAGCATTTAGTCATGCTGGGAACATGACTACAGAGATGTCTTTGGACAGCGCTGGGTCTTTGGCTTTGAAATGGAGATGAGCACCACCCCCTAGAGTCAGGAACGACTAGCACATATGTGTGAGGGGAACCTTTACCTTTAAGTTTAAGTTGAGGATCTTGCACAGTCTGTGCAAAACAGGAGGAGAAGATGTTGTTAAATTGTGCATTTTGATCCTGTTGGACATTTCATGAGAAGTTATATCATATCTGTATTTGCAGAATAAACAAAAAATTGTACCAGCATAATTTAGCCTTGGCATTTGCCATCCATGAGATCAATGAGAATCCAGAGATCTTGTCCAATATGACCCTCGGATTCCACATTGTGGACAGTTACAACGATGAGAAAACTTTCTATCACAGTGTTTTGCAGCTTCTCTTCAAATCCCAGCAATTTGCCTTGAATTACAATTGCAACTCTAAGAAGAATGTAATAGCCATGATTGCAGGATTAAATTCTGATATTTCCTTCCAAGTGGCAAACATCTTAACTCTTTACAAAGTTCCACAGGTGAGGTCTCTAGATGGGAATCGTTTTTCTTGGATATATCTTTGGTATTTTTTCTTTACAATTTGCTTTTCAGAATGGTGTTTTCTTAAATAACAAAAGCATAGATTAGAATAGAGTTGAATAGAATATAATAGAATAGAATAGAATAGAGAAAATATGGAATGGAAAAGAAGAGTAGAGTAGAGTAAAACAAAATGGAATAGAATAGAATAGAATAGAATAGAGAAAATATGGAATGGAATGGAATGGAATGGAATAGGATGGGATGGGATGGAATAGAATAGAATAGAATAGAATAGAATAGAATAGAATAGAACAATAGATCAGAGGAGAGGAAAGTAGAGTAGAGTAGAATCGAATAGAATAAAAATAGAACAGGACAGAACAATATAGAATAATAGAGTTGGAAGGTACTTTGGGGTCTTCTAGTCCAACCCCCTGGTTAGGCAGTAAACCCTACATCACAATATATATTTCTTTTCTTCTTTTAATATCATGTAAACACTGTAGTTGACTTGCTATTTCTTATTTATGGTTATTGGGCAACCTCAGTAATTATATTCATACACACACAAATATACACCCCTTATTCTCTTAATGACAGAGCTCAGCTATGTTCACAGAAGTGGCTTCATGAAAAATCTCTCACCCAGACTAGGAGAACATTCTTCTAGCTCATTTCTTTTTTAAAAAAATAATATTTATTAAATTTTCCAACATTTAAAAGACAAAACATAAAACTCAAATGTACACTTGTTACAGCTTTTCCCTGTCGGTATCCATATTTTTCGTAACAATCCTATTTACAAAAAATGCTATTTCTATATCATTATCCTAAGTTATACCCTTATTTAGATACTCTCTATACATTTATACATTTACCCTTTATGCCTTCAATTTTACATTTAGTCTCAAGCCAGGAATACCATTTATTCCAAATTTGATAGTATCGGTTTCTTCTCTTTCCTTCATTTCCATAGATAGTTTACCCATTTCTGCACATTCATAGATTTTCCTTCTTATGATCGGGGTCTGGGGGAGTACCTGTTTGTTTCTAGTTCTGTGCTAGTATGATTCTTCTGGCAGTTAATATGTGTAATATTATGTATTGTATTTTTTTCTCCATTTCCCCATCAAAGATTCCCAGGAGAAACAATTCCTGCTTCAGCTCTATCCTTTGCTCAGTTATCTCTTCCAACCACTTCCTTATTTTACGCCAATATTTTCCAACCTTGGGGCAAGTCCATCACATGTGGTAGAATGTTCCCTGTTTGCACTGAAACCTCCAACATTTTGGCAATCTGTTTGGAAACATCTTAGCCATTCTGGCTGGTGATAGATCCCAGTGGTAGAACATTTTGTAGAGGTTCTCCTTGTAAGCAGCTTACATTGTTAGTCTGGGAGAGACTTCTAATTCATTTCTGAATTTCATCTCCTCTCCTCTTAGCTCGCCTACGGATCTTTTGCCTCTGAAAGGAGAGAAGGATCCAACCCTTCCTTCTTCCGTATGGCCCTTGGCGAAGACCACCAGGTTCAAGGCATCTTTTATCTGCTAAGGAATTTTGGATGGACCTGGATTGGCCTCTTCGCTCAGGATAGCGATGGTGCAGAACATTTCCTGTTCTCCTTGGAGGCCCTGTTCCCCCAGAATGGAATCTGCTCCGCTTTCACTCAAATAATTCCACAGCAACATTTAGAAAATATAAACAGTTGGAATAAACTTGCTGAGCTGGTTGAAAAACTTAAGCTCCATTTTACAGAGAGTAAAGCAAGTACCTTCATCATCTATGGAGATACGTCAACCCTATTGTACGTGGCTTCTTTACTAGTTCAGGTATATGATGAATGCAATGAAAAGGCATGTGGGGGAAAGGTGTGGATTATGACAGACCAGGTAGATTTCTCTGAAGAGCTGATTGACAACATTCATATGTTCCAAGGAGCTCTTTCTTTCATGCTTCATTCCAGTGAGATTAAGGCATTTCGGGCATTTCTCCACCTCCTCAGAACAAAGGTTAATAATCTGGAAGATTTTTGGAACCAAGACCTCAAATGTCTCTTTTCAACTTCAGATCAAGTGGGAAAGAAAAAGTGTACCAGAGAGGAGAGTTTTCAGTCCATCCCTACCTCACATTTTGAAATGACCATGAATGGGCACAGCTACAGTATCTACAATGGAGTTCATGCTGTGGCCCACGCTCTGCAATCTGTAGGTTCCGCTCGAGCCAACTCTAGGACAACACGGGAAAGAAAAAGGCTTCAGCCTTGGCAGGTAATTCTTCCCCTATATTTTCCACATTAAGCTTTTTATTACACCACTCGCTGATAACTCAGCATTTTCTGGGTATTTATTTATAGGGGGAAAACATAATTTCAAATGTTGGATTTGCCCCCTTACCAGAGGGAGCCTCCTTGTGGAGTACTGTGAAACCGTTACCATGGCAACTGCACTGCACTGTACAGTAGAAGCCATTTTACGGCAGTACAATAGAAGTCACTTGAAGGCACAACAGGCTGTATCTTAACAGAACACAAACACCGATGGGGTGTCAGTGGTGTCTTACTCCCACAGTATTTGTTTCCAAGAGTAAGTCATCTGTGTACCAAGTTTGTTTGTAATTGCTTGAGGCGTTCCAGAGTTATGTGGAACAGAGAGAGA